GGCGGGTCTCGAACCCGCGGGCTCAGGCAATCCACTCACCTCAGCCTCCCAAAGGCGCGGGATTACAGGTTGAGCCACCGAGCCCGGCTTCTTTCCAGTACTTTTAAAAATCATAACTTGGGAAAAAAAAAAAAAGTGATATGGTATTGTTTTTCTTTCAGTTTAAAAGTAATGCCCTACTCATTGAGAGAGCTTGGAAAATAAAGACCAACATAAAGGGGGGAAATAATAAATAATAACCAACCAAACAAACCACAGTGAAAATTAGATGTAATCCTTCCTGAACTTTTTATTAATATATACCAAAATGGTACCATGCCTCAGTACTTTCCATTTGCAACATATTATGAATGTTTTGTCATGCTGATACTCAGCTTGTCTGTATCTAACTTGTAGTGGTATGTAGAATACAAGCATATTGAGGTATGTTTATTTAACATACCTAGCCAGCTCCCTGTCATTGGACACTGAAAGTATTTCTAACTTTTTACCATTATAAATGATGCCATAGTTAATATCTTTGTCTGTACGTCTTCCTACGCATCTATGATTGTTTCTTTAGGACTAGGTTCTTAGGAGTGGAATAGCTGGGTCAAAGGGTATGTACTTAACACTTTTGATACATACAAATGTCAAATTTAAGCTAATCACTTGTTAGACTCTGTCTTGTATGGCTATCTAATTGTTTTATGTGTCTGTCTTGTCTCCCTAACTAGAATGTGTCTCAAGCTTCTTGAGGGCATAGGAAGTTTCTTGACAACTTGTGTATCCTTTGGCAGTGTGGTTGACAGTGCTGCACTTAAGTCACTAGCACATGTGCACTGATGTAAAGCATTGGTTCTCTAGGCCTCTGACTGCCATCAACTGCAAATTGAAAAGCATATATAAACGTGTGTGTGGGGTGTGTGTGTGTGTGTGTGTGTGTGTGTGTGTGTGTGTGTATGTATGTATGTATGTATGCATGGTAGCTAGGAGCTTGCAAATTTTCCATTTTTCCAAGAAAGGATATTAAAAAACAAAAGCAATTACCATTTCCTTTTCTCATCATTTCATAAAATAAAGAATATCAGCAACAAAAAGGTTCTAATCTCTGGGAAAAGGCAGGCCTTTGATGGAATGCCTCAGCTTTTGGAAAGCCTACTGCCTCGTCTGGGTCTGTCCCGTTCTGCGTGGGGCTGGTGTGTCTTCCCCTTGACCTAACCACAGACCAGAGACCTGCATTTGGAAACCCCTGAGTTAATAGACTGAGAATACTAGAAGGTTAGCCCTTTGCAGTATAAGTTTGATTCTTCCCCTGTTCGTGAGACTATCTTCTCAGCAAAGTGCAAATGTTCAGGAATGCCATTTCATCACACAGAATCTGTGTGTCTCTAGGTCCGAGTTCTATAGTGAGCAAGCTAGATCTTGCTGATAGCTGAATATATTTCCAACTGCCAAAAATAAACACTAGTCTTTTTCTAGGGAATTTGAGACAGTGGGGAGGGTGGTGTGGCAGAAAGAAGGCAGGATTTGGAGTCAAGGCTTGAGTCAGGACTGGGGCAAGAAGTCACTTAATTGTCATTTGGCTTCCTTACTTGTATGATCTGAGCGTTTATAGCCCTGCTGGGGCAGCTCCCTCACTGTGATGTGATGGTTTGTTCACGCATCTACCTTCCTCTGAGATCCGGGCTCTGGAGGGTGGGTGTCCTACCTAGCCTTGGTTTGCAGCCTGGGGTCGGAGCTAGAGCTCCGGGCATAGCAGATGCCTGATCACACGCTCCTGAATCAAGGCAGGATTGTTGTGAGGATTACACAAGGGAATAGATGTGGGCACTCTGTAAAGTGGAAACTTTGTTTGAAGGTTAACTGTTTGTATTGCCAGCAAGAGCTGTCTTTGGGGTCTCTCAGCACTTTGGGAAGAGAGCATGACCCCGCTTAACAGTTCCGTGAGTGCGTGGCATTTTTTCTTCCATTTTATAAGAAAACAAGTTTTAATTGAGGTGAACATGAGCTAATTTGTGTTCTGGGAAGGCAGGTGAACTCCCTCCCCCCTCCATGGAGGTACCAAGATAGTAAATGTTTACTTTATTTCATTGCTGGAATAAAGCTTAATAATGGTCGGATCAGCTAGTTTTATATTTAAAGGGTGGTGCCATTGCTTTATCTTGTTAACCGTGTAATTAAAGAGGGTCTCTCTTGAAGAGAACAGGAGCCTACGTTATGCCCAGTTAGTTTGGGCCAGGTCTCCTTTTTTTGCCATCAACTGACTTTACCCGCCTGGGCAACTTGGCGAGACCTCATCTCAACAATAAATCAAAAATTAGCCGGGCATAGTAGCACGCGCCTGTAGTTCCGGCTACTTGGAAGGCTGAGGCGGAAGGATCGCCGGAGCCCAGCGGGTCGAGGCTGCGGTGGCCGACAGTGGCCACTGCACTCCAGTCTGGGTGACAGAGTAAGACTACAACTCAAAAAAAAAAAAAATAATAATAATAAAAAACGCCCTTGCTTCTGATGTTTGTAAAGCGCCTGGTGAACTTCTGCCACAAGATGGCGCAGGTGATTACTGAGTGCATGTACAATTGAACCAGGATTTTTAAAAAGTGCACAAAATTGCTTGCATTCTCTTGGGGTAAGAGTTTAAAACCTTTATCACTGCTTATATGTTAATTTAATTTTGACTTCCAAAGCAGGGTTAAATGCTGCTTTATGTCGCTCTCTCTCTGTATTCAAGTATTGTTTTGTTTCCTGTTTGCAGTAACTGTTTGACTTGCCATGTGTTGTATGTGTCTGACTTACTGCTGGTAATTGTGGTGACAGGTAAGAAGAAAATACGATGGGACCCGGTTAGGAGGCGCTTCATTCAGTCCTGTCCCATCCTAAGGATCCCTAGCAGGTTCCTGAGAGGTGGGTGACACCGGCAAGAGGTCTGTGCTTTGTGTGGGCTGAGGGAACTTGGAGTGGATTTTCCAAACACAAAACTCTGGTTTAAAAAGTTGTCTAGACAGCCAGTGAAACGGTTGGAGTAAGAAAAGTGTAGAACTTAATTTTAAACTTGTGTTTCCTATTGACCACTCTCGGGATTGTAATATAAGCTTTGAGGAGTTAGAATCACTGAATGTGTATCAGATGGCAGAAATAAGTCATCTGACTGATATCAATGGTATTCCATTATAAACATGATTAGAAAGTGCTTTGAGCGAGTATAATTTATAAAACATGGGTGTGAGAAACAATTTTCTAAATACAATTCTAAAGAAGGAATAACAGATTGCTTTATGTGGCAGCATAAAATAAGCCTCTTAGTCAAACATCATAAATTAAAGGGGGGCTGGGCGTGGTGGCTCACGCCTGTGATCCCAGCACTTTGGGAGGCCGAGGTGAGAGGATTGCCAGAACCCAGAGATCCGAGACCAGCCTGGGCAACTTGGCAAGACCTTGTCTCTACGATAAATCAAAAAATTAACTGGGTATGGTGGCATGCACCTGTAGTCCCAGCGTCTCAAGAGGCTGAGGTGGAAGGATGACCTGAACCCAGGAGGCTGAAGCTGTGGTGACTGTAAGTGTGCCACTGCACTCCAGCCTGGGTGACAGAGTGAGACGCTGACTTAAAAAAAAAGGGAGGGGGGGCGTTTGTAACAAATGAGCAATATTATGACTGTAGAGGTCTTATAAATCAATAGGCTAAAAGCAAACGCCCACTAGAAAAATAGGTGAAAGGATATGAATAATCAATTTGTGAAAAAGAAATGCCCATAAATATAAACAAATATTTATTTGCACTATTGTTACAAACATGATAACTAAGGCAATAAGATATTTTCATATGTTAGGTCTGCAGAGACTAAAAAATAAGAATACCCAGTGCTGGCAAGAGTGTGGGAAAACGAAGCTTGTATATCAAGGGAAGTGAAAATTTCATACAGCCTTTCTGGACCCAGTTTGGAAATATGTACCAAAAACCTTAACAATGTTCATACCCTTTGACCTAGCAAGTCTGCTTTTAGAAATACTGCATCCTTCTACTTTTTATTTTTTCCACTAAAACATACTCCGCACTAAAAAAGAAAATCTCAGGAGAGGGTTGAAAACTCTGATTTACACTTTTTTTTGAGTTGGAGTCTCACTCGGTCACCCAGACTGGAGTGCAGTGGCCGCTCCCGGCCACCGCAGCCTCGCCTGCTGGGCTCCACGATCCTTCCGCCTCAGCCTTCCGAGTAGCTGGAAATACAGGCGCGTGCTACCACGCCCGGCTAATTTTTTGATTTATTGATACACTATTTTTCTAGATAAAAACTTTTTTTTTTTTTTGAGTCAAGGTCTCATGTCGCTCATGCTGCAGTGCAGTAGCACACTCACTGCTACTGCAGCCTTGACCTCTTGAACTCAAGACGTCCTTCCACCTCAGCCTCCTGAGTAACTGGGACTACAGGCATGTACCACCATGCCTGGATAATTTATTTTTTGTAGAGAGGAGGTCTCACTCTGTCACCCAGGCAGGAGTGCAGTGGCACGCTCGCTGCCACCACAGCCTCAATCTGCTGGGCTCAGGTGATTCCTCCATCTCAGCCTCCCGGGTAGCTGGGACTTCAGGCACATGCCACCATGTCCAGCTAATTGTTTTTGATATTTGTAGAGACGAGATCTTGCTATGTTGCCTAGGCTGGTCTTGAACTTCAAAATGTTGGGATTACAGGTGTGTGCCACCACCCCTAGCCTTTGATATAACAAATTGTCAGACAGGTATACTTAATGTTGATAATTTAGAATTTATAAAATTATTTATAAGCCAGTGTACCTAGTTTTGACGGAAAAGATTTTTTTAAAAAAGGGAAAAATCCTACCGCTGCTGTTGATGTTTCTATATCCGGTTGTTAACCTATTTTTGGCTGCCAAGCTCCAGAGCATGAAAGCATAAAATCAAGCCTAAATGAGTCAAGGTAAGAGACTCAGGAGGGTGTTATACCACCTTTTAGCATAAGTCACTTCAGATAAAAATTAAGAGGTCATCTTAGTATCAGGTGGCAGAAAACTATTGTTGCACACATGGCCAAGCAAGCACATCTAATTCTATAACACTTTTTCTTTTTTCTTTTTATAAATTAGAATGTTAATCTGTTGATTTGCAATGAGAAATCTAATTTGGGCTGAATAAAGCACACATTAAGTTTCATTATTTAATTTTCTTATTAATTATGCATACTGGATATAAGCATAATTAAGAAATTGTTTAATTAGGACATAGACTTCAATATAATTGCATAAAACATGTGAACATTCAAGACAAAGGAAATAGTGACATAGCCAGTTGTATCTGGATGGTTGGATTTTATTTTCTCTTGTATAGTCTCTGTTTTCCAATCCAAAGATTGCACAGTAAGTTTCGTGCCCTTGGGTACTTGTAAGCCCTCAGTGTCTCCAGCAGTGGCTGAGAAGGCTGCTCCCTGGGGACCAGCGGTGAGGCCGAGTGCCATGGTAGAGGCAAGGTCAGGGTCAGAGGCCTCCCCTTCTCACCTTTGACCTGGTGGTGGTATTGAGGCTGTCGCTGGCCTCCCCTTCAATGCTTGCTCTCCTTTGGGGTTTGCACTGCACATCCTGGACATCTCCCTCCCTCCTGAGGTCCTGTTTCCTGCACTGGCTCCCTTCTCCCTCCCCTGGGGGTGGGTGTGACTTGGTGCCCTGTGCCCTCCCCCTTGCCTCCTGTGCTGGTCTCATCACCTCCCCTACTTGCTGCCTTCATGGGCTCATTTGTTTGTTCATTCTTTTAGCATTTCAGTGTTTCTTGATTGCTTCCTGTGTGCCCGGCACTGTGCTAGCCTGATGACCTAGGCAGTAGAGTAAGGTGAACAGACAATCTCAGAATAGAGGGTGTTCTTTGAGCCAACTGTCCTGCTGAGGCCTGCAGGGCAGGGAGGAGGTGCCTTCAGGATGTGCCTGAGGTCATGTGCTCAAAGGCCACTGGGTGGCGCCTCTCCAGCCACTGGACCGGACAGCTGAGTAAAGACCTGTGGGCGAGCGGGCCTGGTGCTTTTGGAGATCTGGAGGAAGATCAGCTTGGTGGGAGGGAGGGTGGGCCGGGTGCAGGTCAAGTGGAGCTTTCGGGATCAGATTTGGTGTTTTAACTAACCAGGAGATAGGAAGGACCCATAAGATTTCTACAGTTATCCAAGTGAGGATGACGAGCCAAAGCTCACGTAGGCATGGCAGGACTGCAGAGTGGGGAATGGGTTTGGTGTGAAGGAAATGGGACTAGACGAGCTTGATGACTGCTTGAGGAAGAGGAGGGCCCCTCCGCCAGGTGTTGCCCTGGTGGGTGGAGGGGCGGGCTAGTGGGGAGGATGGCACAGTCGGCATCCTGTCTCCCAGCCACAGTGGCGTACTCTTCACACCCAGCCTGGCACGTTCCAGGGACGCTTCCGTGGCAGACTTGTCTCTGTCCGGGGCGCCCTCTGCTTTCCCGCCTGTGTCGTGGCATGTAGCCCAGTGAGTTGCAGCCGAGTGTTGACCCATCTCGCCTCCCTTAGACTGCGACCGGGAGGACCGCGCTCTCCCTTGCCACCTCCAGGCTGCAGCACAGGCAGGGAGCAGGTGCACCTTATGGATGCGAGCTGAATTGGATTCTTAAAAAGCTGCTGTCAGGGAATAGGACGGGCTAAGATCTTAGTATGTTCTCAACTTCTCTTTAGGGGCGGTGACAATGAATTGATGAATTGTTGAGAACACGAAAATGCTGTTGTTTAACGTCTCACTTTTGAAAACTTATCTGTACTTTTGAAATAGCTACTTTGAGCCTCTCATTGTGAAATGCTTTCCATTGCCTCTCTTGGTTCAGATTGTAGACAGCTTCATCGGGTTCATTTTCTGTTAGTAGATTCTTTCCCTAGATCCTGCATCTTCTCTGAGAGAGATTTCTGCCCATTACTGTTGTGGTGCAGTGAGAAGAATGGCTTCCATTATAACACGGTGAGCTGGACATGCCCATGCGCTCTCCCCCTCCTCTCAGGCATCCCTGAAGATGTCAAAAGAGACATAAGACAGAGAATACATTATTGCTGTGATTAAAACAACAACAACAACAACAAGGGACAGAGAGGCTGGAAGCTAGATCACTGGAGTCTGACTCCAGGCTCTGCCATTTGCCAACTGCGTGACCTCAGGCCAGTGGCTGCTGCTTCTTGCCTCTGTGGCCTCATCTGTAGTGGGGGTGATGATGATAGCCCCCGTCTCTGGGGGTTACCGTGAAGACCAAGAGAGACAGTCGATGGGAAGCCCTTGGAGCGCTTTTACATAGAGAGAATGTTGAATTAATGTTAGCTATCAGTATTGTGATCGTTCGCATACCAGAAAGTCTGAGGAGTTTCGAGGTACTGGGAAGGCGCTAGAGTCACACTGAGGAGCCAGGAGGGAGCAGATGCAGCCGGAGGGTGCCTGGCCCATGGCGGAAGTCAGACTGTCTTGGCAGGCTCCTCTGGAGCTCCAGCTCAGAGGCTGTAGGGACGAGTGGGAGGTAGAGCAGGTGCAGGAAGCCGGGTAGATAGGGAAGAACTGTCTGCCGAGCTGGCCTCCCTGTTTACGTGAGAACACAAGGAAGGGTGTGGGTTCCCAGGAGGCAGCCTGGGAGCAGTTCTTCAAGCATTGTGGAGGCTTTGCCTTGGGAAGCGCTAGGCAGGCTCTGAACGTAGACAAGAGTGGAGACTGTACAGAGTGCCTCGGGCAGTGGCCTCCATGGTGGGTGGTGAGGAGGGCAGAGAGGATTCATCAAGGGCTGAGGCCTGTGTGAGGACGAGGCCTGCCTCATTATCGGAAGTCATAAGGCGAGCCTGCCTTGTCCTTCATGCCTACAGGGAAATGGTCAGTGTCCACTCACCTGCAGAGACCCAAGCCACCTCAATATGATTAGGTGATCC